AAAAAAAAAAAAAAAACCCATCAATGAAAAGACCAAATTCAAGAACCATTAAAGCAGGCCAAACACATTAAATGAAGAATAGCAATAACATTAAGAACCTCAGTTATCTGAAGAACAACATCATCTCTCCTAAGGAACTTGCCAAGCAAACGAGGGGCAAGATCAAGTGCATCAATTTGGTAAAAATCTTGGGTCAAGATTGGATTTTTATCCAAGAAAGCTATAAGGGTATTACTAATTTGAGGGATTGGGTGGTTTTCTTGAGATTCTGAGTTGGGTTTTGAATCTTTTGATTTGTGCTGCTTTTTTACTTTAATGGTTGTGGTTTTGGATGTTGAAGCTCTTGTTTTGGTGGGGAATTTTTGGACAGTAATTTTGTGATTTGTATCATTTTTTAGGCGATGGAGTTTCTTCATTGTATTAACTGGAGAAAGAAATGGCAGACGAACGGGCAGCTTTAAGGAGAACCATTGTATAGGGGCGTTTGCTGGGCGGAAAGAACTTGTCAATTCTCTAATTGGGGTTTTAAAATATTACTACTAATACAAAGTAAACACTTCAATTTTATAATTATATTTTATTTAAGTAATTAAGAAATGGCTGTTGTCTGTTGACTTAGAAGTTAGAAACAGACTTCTGTTTGATCTTTTACATTTATAATTGAGTTAAGTGATAGAGTACATAATAGGAAGAAATTAAAAAATAACCAGATTTACGAGTGATCATTGAAAAATAGCCACAGTTTCAAAAATAATCGAAATTTAGTCATTTTTCATGTAAATATAAATCTGAACGAAAATATTATTCAAAATTCAGAAAATATTCCAGCATAATATACTGGAATTCCAGTATAATATACTGAAGTTATACTGGAGTTTCAGTATATTATACTAGACCTCCGGTATATTATATTGGAGTTTATACTAGAACTCTAGTATATTATACTGGAGTCCCAGTATAATATACTGGACTTCCAGCATAATATATTGGAGTTCCAGTATAATATACCGATCCAGCATAATATGCTGGAAATTCATCCACATGTGCTCCAATCTCCAGTATATTATGTTGGAACTTTCCGTGTGTTGGAGTTCCAGCATAATGTGTTGGAGTTTCAGCATAATATGCTGGAAGTTCATATACAGGTGCATTGATCTCCAGTATACTATGCTGAAACTTTTCGTGTTGCAGCAAAATAATGGCTATTTTTTAATAACTTAGCAAACACTGACTATTTTCAATTACTAATCCGAAAAATGACAAGCCCGTGCTATTTTTACGTACATAACATCCAAATAATAGAAAGAGATCTAAATAAGAGAACTATCTGACTTTTACCTGCAACCCGATCTAAACATTACAATTCACATGGAAATATTCATCGTCCCAAAATGCTCATACCCACCAAAAGTTCAACATATACAACCTCGAAAGCACCAAGCAATGACTCTTCCCACAAGGCAGAAACGAAACACACTGAATAACACAAGGTACCATAACCAAATATAATTATATTGCGGCGTGCAACCCGATCCGACATCATATCGTTACGGCGCACAACCCGATTCAGACATTACAATTCACATGAAAATATTCATCGAGCCAGAATGCTCATACCCACCAAAAACATGTGCATCAAGAAGAAGCATGTATAGTGCATAACCATAAACACAGGGAGACGAATAACATAACGTGCTACAAGAAAAGCAAGCACAATTACGGTGTAATAAACAAGCCAACATCTCAAGAGCCATCTCGCTCAATATATATA